AAAACAATTGAGTCTCTTTCCTACAATCTCTCCCTGTTGTCTCTCTGCAATGTTGAATGACAAGCCAGCATCGAAAGAAAATCATTTATGCCTTTATAGTGGACTCATTGTAGTGTCATGGTCCACAGGCTTTCATTTAATTATCTTACATGAAAAAGGTTTTTGGTCTTTTACAAGCTTAGGCAGGAATAGGGAGAAGCAAGGAAGGTGAGACCGAAAGCACATTTTACCTTGCAGAGTTGCCTTTTGCTTACGAGAAATAAGGCTGATGTTATCACCCACCTTCTAATCAAACTTGACAGGAGCATTTTGTTAAGCCACTTTCTCTGAGTGGGAATTCTGATGAATACGGCTCTCGTCTCCGGTTTCGAAGTATTACTTTACATCGTTCCCAAGCATTGTTTGCCTTAATGGATGGATTATTGTAGTATGTCAGAGAAGCAGATAATTCACAGCCTCATTTTATAAACTGAGAGCCCAAGGCACAGTAGTTTAATTTGCATAACTGCAGAGCAGTAAGTGGAGTCCAGGTCACCCATCCAACATACTCTTGGTTTGATGAAAAGTTTGCTAGTGTGGCCTCAATATTTCTGTTCAGGTAATTATAGCTACTGGGGAATGTCACGACTTTTAGCCAGGGGCTTGCTTGTCAGTGAAGTGGAGACGGGCAGTGCTTTCAGCATACTCCCGACGCACTTCTGGTTCAGGTGCTCCTTTTGCCTCCACATCTGTGGATTGGTAGCAGTGAAAAAGGAGTTACCTCCACAGCCCGCCTGGCTCATGGCTCTCTCCTTGAGTAAGCAGGCAATTGGTCACTTATGGAGCTGGTCTTTTTGAAAAGATAAAACATAAATTAATTTGGAGTCTGAAGCAGGTTTTGTATGGCTGTGGCATAGCCCAGTGCAATAAGCTTCTTACCAGATTTTGAATACTCAACTGCATAGCCAATACCAGGACTTACACATACGTTAATGTAGCTTGTAATGTCCATCTCTGTTTGCGGAGTATGCACCTTGGCCACCCGCTCCTTCTGTGAGTAAACTACTACTGTAACATTGAATGATAGTTTATATAAAGCATATGTTACTCTTGTTCACTAAGGCTGTCTGGCTGAGATTGAGTAAAAGAAGCAAATCCAAACTGCTATCCTTTGTTATGTTTGGACATTTTCAAAGCACTGCAGTGGTACAAAATGGTTCCCTTCTGCCAGTTTGTGTAGCCAACTGATCCAAGCTCTTTGGAAACAGGAGCATCAGTGCAGTTCTGCTGGTGGGAACCAGCCTTCGCAGAAACTTGCTGGCAGTTGAGATAAACCCTTGGCACCTCACATGTTCCTGGAAGGGCTGCCGGATGCATTGGTAATGGCCATGATGCTCCAATTCAATGAGTCAAGGGGTAGTGAGAGGCCTGTGTTTAATTTTTCTTGCCTTCTCAGGAAGCATCTTCACAGATAATATGAGAACAGGGAGGTAAAGTTCTGTTTAACTCCAGTGCTGCTGGAGTACTTAATACATTGAGGAGGAGTGGTGGGATTCAGATGTGGGAGGAGGTGGGCTGGTACTGTCCTTCCTTCAGTCTGGTGGCTGATTTTTAACAAGGGATTGGTGAGGCACCCCTAAAATGCAAATTGTTCAGGCATATCTGAGGAGGTGGTCCTCTCTGAAATGCTGCTGCAGCTGCTGTTTCGGCATCCAGAAACTCTGCAGGAGGTGTATCTATACCTCCGTGGGCTGTCTCATTGGGATAGGTATGTAGGGATGATTGGACATGGTTTCTGCCTCTGCTAATCAAGTGAGTGCCAAAATTAAAAAGCCCCTTGTCTCTTGCAAAGGTTTCGTCTCCTACACTTAATTAGACACCAGTAACATTAGCTTTTAAACGGGAATTGGAAATGTGTAGTGACTTTATTGTAGCAGTGTGTGTTGAATGGAGACTGGTTCCCCTTTGCAGGGGCAGAAGCTGCTGGCACCCAACAGCTTTTCAGTGGGCGCCCACCACCTGCCCCCCTCTGCGCTTGCTGCACCGTGTGCCCATTAGCTGCCGGGCGTGTGGAGAGAGGGCAGCCGGCTGCAGGGGAGAAGGCTTGGAGGAATACAAAGCTCACTCCTGTCTGCATCCAACAGCATTGTAAGCCTTGTGGCAAGAGGCTGTAGGGAACTCTTTAACTGCTCCTATAGCAAAAGGAACAGGGAGGGCGGCTGGGATGACGGTATAGGGGATATGCGTTCGCTGGAAGCGTTATGTTGGTATTTTGCAGTACTGCAGAAATCTCGTTTCCAAGGTAGTTAAGCTTGGTTCATTCTGAATTCAATTTATTGTAAACTCAGTTTATTTATCAATAAACTCAGTTTATTGATTGAGTTACGATTTTGCAGAGGAACAGGAGTCTTTTCTTGTAGCCATTTGAAGCGATCGTGTTCCCCAGCACTTTGTTTTTAGGCAGGTTGAGTTCATAATTTAAGTGCTGTTTGGGAGGGATTCATGCTCTTTAGGGCGGGCTGAGCAGCACATTTCTCAATGAATGGTTGGCAGGAGCTGCTGCTTCGGGAGTTCAGATCACCCCAGTGACCCTCACCAGCGCTGTCTGACGCCCTGCGCACCTCGGCATGGGGCGTTAAAATGGAGCCGCGCCAGCCCAGACCCACTCCCCGCAGCCCTCCCCGGGTCCGTGCTGGCCAAGCTGCGGTGCTGGCTCAGCCCTCCCAAACTTTCCAGCAGTACCCCTCGTTCCCCTTCCCGACTAGGCTCCTAAACCCATCCTCTGCAACACCTTGTTTCCAGAACGGGCATAAAAAAACTTCTCAAAACCATTTTTTCCCCATTTCCTTCACTTTGTTAGAGTAACCTTTATTCACAGAATAAAATTAACACCTCATACTCCCATGCTCTTGTAAACACTTATGGATAACATGGTTTCAAAAAGTGGGAAGAACCAGTAACCTCCTCATGCCCAAGCAGTTGGGTTTGTTCTTTTTTCTGTGGAATAACCTTTTTATTCCAGGCTTTATTAATTTTGTTGTGTTTTTTTTTTTTTAAACAAGCACAACTACTGAGGTATAGACCTAACTTTCTATAACTGTTTTGCTGACCTTGCCCATCCATCTATACTGTATGTTGAGAGGATATATTTATACTTCGGTTATTGGAGTTTCAGTTAATATTTTGTTACCTTGCAATTTGATATTAATAGTAACTGACCTTTGTTTCCTAGTCTGCATGGTGCCCTATTTCCTATTTATTGCTCTGAAACGACTCTTCCTTTTTTCATGTAATGAGCTTAGGAAAGCAGTGTCACTTAACCATTGACAGTCGCTAATATTCCAGTATTTCAGTGAGTTTTTCAACCTGAAAAACCTGCCTTTTGCATAAACTGGATTGGGAGTTGCTCTGCCAATGACCGTGGAAGTTTTTGGTTCATTTCTCCATCTCTGCCGTTGGAGTTGTGCTGCGTTAGGCTCTGAGTTACTTTTATTTGGCAGGGGCTCCAGACAAAAATGCCCACATTTTGGGACAGAGATCCACTTTTTGTTGTGGACACTGTCCTCTTTCTGCAGTTGCTTTCTCTCCGTTACGCCTTTCCCCATCTTCATTATTGCTTTTTGAGTTACCAGAGTCTATCGCAGCTTCTGCAAGTGCAGCATCGCCAGAAGAGATGGGTCCGGATCCAGGCTGGAGTCCGTATGCTCTTCCCAACCACCCATACGCAGCGAGGCTACAGCTCTTCACTGTTACCAAATAATATTATTTCAAAAGCTTCTTATAAAAACATGAGTAATTGGGCAAGTGACAAAGGACTTTCTGTTTATCTTTTTGAACAATGGAAAATACCAAATAGCCACAATTTGTTCCAGTTATTTAGTGTCTTTGTTCCAGAGCCATTTCGTGGGCACAGGATTTAATTCTGCAAGAATGCAGGAAGATGGTGACTTGTTTTTGTGCTTAAAAAACAAATAAAATGATTAAAATTTTCAAGTTTCTTTACTAGGAAAATACTTTTTACTTGTGCAATAACATTTTTAAAGCCTAAGGAAGATACTTTACTGTATATTACAAGTCTAAGGTTATTTTAATAATCAAATGAGACTTTTAAATCGATGCTGATGTCTTTGCCATTCCAGAGAATAGTACAGTTTGGAACAGCTTTGTACAAAGGTTGATATTTGTACCCTGAGAATAGTAGATTTGAATTGCAAATAAGAACTAAGCAATTATCAAAACTAACGCTAACCAAAACAAAATTATATTGAAATGGAATATGCTGATCAAAGTTGGTAATGCTGATTAAAGTGGGAAATGGAGGAATGTGTGCTTTTAAAAGGGAAAACTTCAGAGGAGGACCACTTGCAAAGAATTATTCTTGCTGTCGTGCAGTTGTCAGAAACCCAGATGAGTGAGGGTCTAGAGCAAATAGTGCCACCTCCTGGCAATGGAATGAAAAACAGATGCGTGGTCGGAGATGGCGGGTACGGGGGTACACTGGTGGCCTGTGTCAGTGATGTAGGAGGCGATAGGTAGGATTGGTTACATGTTCTGGAGGAGCAAAATCCTTTTGAGGCGTTGAGTCTAAAGAATCTACAGATGGGAAAATTGGATCGAATCCCTCTGGGTTTATTTCCAAAATGTGGAAATAAACTGTCCGTAGATGCCCACTCTCTTGCCAGCTTTGCTTCTTGTCTTTTGACATCTCAAGCCCTTTTCTTTTAACTCTTCTGCCACAGAGTTGGGCCTCACGGCACATAAAGCTGCTGGGAAAAACTGTGTTTTAATTGCGTTTAATTGTTCGGTTCTGATCTCTTGATGAACAAGGATTAATCTCTTCCCAAGGTGATAGATATCCCTGAGGTCTGCCCGGTTAATAGCCTGGTCGATTCTACAGTTATTATGAATCCATTTTACAGTTGCTCTGGAAGACTTGGCATCTGCCTTCTGGTTGGCATGCCTCTACACCACAGGCAGGAATCTCATCAGGCCTCTCACCTGCCTTGTGTTTTGTTTTTCAGGTGGTACCAGAGAGATTGGGTCTGCTCTCACCAGGATGTGTATGAGGCACAGAAGTATAGAGTCCAAACTCCGGCAGTTCTCAAGGTGAGTGGCTCTGTACCTGGCCCAGAGCTTAAGGTTCGTCTTTTGATTGCTACTGGGAAGCGCCTAATGCTGTTCACCAGGATTGGCTTTTCAGCTAATGTCTGACCATGCCACTGAGAACAGCAGTTGTTTTCTCCCCCCGCAGCACATGAGGTGTTGTGAGCATGCAGGATTTCACTGCATGTTCTGGGGACTGGGCTTGTCACCTCAAGTCACGACAGTTCCCACTGTCGGTTCCTGTTGCTCAGTGCTGAGCAGATGGCTGCTGATGTGACCAATCTGTCTTTGTTTCAGGACTTTAAGCTTTTGTCACTAAGTTTTAAAGCAGCAGCAAGTGTTGTGCTGCTTCCTCAGGTTACTGAAGAGCCCAAACTGCTTGCGGCCAAGAGAGAAAATTTCAGCAAACCAGTATGGAAAAGGCAAATTCTCTCATCCCCTTTTTGCAGTTAAAGTTAGACTGTAGAGGTAATGGGAGAGGATTAACTCATGTGTAAGCTGGGCTATACATAAACAACCTACTTCTGTAGTAAGTAGTAGTTTGCACGTGTGCCATTTTTAACCAGACTTAGAAGTTATACTTGACGTGAGGTGAACCAAAATGATGCTTCACCATTTGCCTGATGACCTGGGATGTTTTTTCCCTTTTAAAATAAAGATATTTGTGAAATTGGCTGGGAGGAGACAACTTTGGTCTCTAGTTACCCCAGAGTTAGCTGTTTAAATGATTCGATCCCAATCTCATTAATTAGTGGAGCATTGCTAGTACTGTATCATGGACTCCACTGGTGAGAGGTGAGGCACATCAGTGGGCAGGATGTTGTACATCCTGCTCTGTCTTCTTGTGCATATACATGTGTTATTTAAGTTTATACTCTTCATGGCTGCATGAACCTTTCTGGTTTCCAGAGTATCCATTTAAACTGCTCTTCGTGTGACAGATGAGCAGGATCTAACTATTTACATTGGCCCTGTTTTGGGTCTCTCCTCTGGTTTATACTCTGTTCCTCACTGTCCTGAACTTCTGCGTAGTAATTCTGGTTATCTTGTGATGTGGATTTTTTTTTGATCCAGTCCTTTCTTTTGCTTTCTCCAGCGTAAACATTTTTATGTTCTGATATTTACATTGTGACACTGGTAGCTGTCACAGCAAAAAGTAAAAATACTCCAATATTGACCTTGGCTCTCTATATAAGAATAGGGGCATCTGCAGGATTTGATTGCTCTTTGTGTTTTTTCAACAAAATTAGTGCTTTAATTGACTGTCTGATAAACCCACTTCAAGAACAGATGGAAGAGTGGAAGAAAGTGGCCAATCAACTGGATAAAGACCATGCAAAAGGTAGTTACAGAGGAAGAATTCTTTAGTAGGAGTAAGATTGTAATATCAGCTTTTCTTCCTCTTTTCATGTTTGTACTGGGGAACTGAATGACTGGCTTAAATATGTATAGCAACTTTTCTCTTCTAAAACATCTCTCTCAGAATGCCTAACAAATTTTTAACCCTTGCATATACACTTTGAAGGTTTAGTTTGCAGGACCCCAAGGGATGGGTTGTTTTTGTAGACTGGTAAGCAGTGACTAGTTTTAACTCTGTTAGCCCACTCTCACTGTATGATCTCCAGTAGTGCTAAGGATTGGGGATGCCGCATTTGTCCCTGCAAAGCCCCGAGGTGTAGTTAAAAGCTAACTGTAAGATCGTGTTCTGTCTCAGACATAGTGTCCTCCAGAGATTGCAGAGCCCTGTAAAACATTCAGCATCGTTATTTTATATCTGATACGATACAGAAATGTGCACCTGGGGAACGGGAAAGCTGTGTCGTTGGACATAGGATGCTCAGAGCTGTGGTGCTGATGATGGCTCCAGAGGCTTTCCTGGGGGAATGAGCAGGTAGCAGGCAGCAAAGTCTTGCACAGCAAGAACATGTTGGTAGATGCCTTTGGCTCTGCAAAACTTGTATTGAGGATGATGGCCCTCTAACATGGGTGCTGAAAACAGGTTGCAGTTCACCACTGACCCTTGAAAACTGAAGACTTTTGCTATGTCTGAAAGAAGCAGCATCACCATTATTTATTTTAGGGAGGGTGAGAACTGATGGGAAGGAGTGTGCTTGGCCTCCGAAAGAGGATTTGCTTCTTGCCCCACTATTACTGTGGTCAAATAGAAGCAGCTAAATCAGCAGCTCTTGAAAAAATTTCCACCTGTGCTGCTGAGAGTGTTAAGCAGGTAGTGAGCAGAAGGGAAGAATCACCTGCGTTCCTATGGGTAAGAGTGACCCTGGCCAAACTGGCAGTGAGATCTAGGGTTTAGTGGCTAGACTTGGGTGTTGGGCATGCAGTTGGCCCTGGTATAGCCTGCTTCTGTTTTTCCATCTATAGAAGAGTAATAACATTGATCTCCTTCATTGAAGTGTATGTGTATATGTATAGACATGCATACATGCCTTTTTTTTCTTTTTTTTTTTAAGTATCAGTTTTCATATTTGGTACCTTTAGTGTGCCTGGACTAGAGGTGGAATATTTTGTTCTGGAATTTTAATTCTTCTGGGATTTGCAGCTCATCTGAAAATGAGGACAACTACACTGTGCTCCACTTCATCAGAAAGAGCTGGCAATGTGACCCTTCCTTGGGCAGAGTTTTAGTACCTTCTCCCTCTGCCTGACTCTCATGCTGGAGAGGGATCACAGGATATTCTCTGCCTTGCCATTTCTGGATACTTGTTTTTGAACACAGATGTTTCGAGAAACTTGTCATCTCTATTTTCCATTCCTGAGAGTGGATGAGTCTCTGAGATGAAAAGCACTCTAATTTTGTACTGTGCTCTCAGTTGTTATTTCTGTAAAGGCTTTGTTTATTTGGGAAGGATTTTGGTATGTGAATGTGCGCACACCCCAGAATGTTATATTAAGCCAAACGTATAGGCACTGCGAAATGTGAGTTCTAAGTCGCTTTGATTAGTAGTAGCTGTCCTCTTAAAATTTGTAATCTAATGTCTTTAAACATAGCCTTTTGTGTGAAAAACATTCATTTTGACATTGAGTTGATAATAGAGACTGTGTGTTTTTTTAGAATACAAAAAAGCCCGCCAGGAGATAAAAAAGAAATCGTCTGACACACTGAAGCTACAGAAGAAAGCAAAGAAAGGTAACTTGCTTCATACTTGTGCTGTTAAAAACCTTTTGTGCTGTGCTCATTGACAAAGATTGAACAGTGATAGGACTTTCTATTGTAATAATTTGGTCCCCTGTAATGTATTTCTGGTATGTACTTGAATACCAGGGTACAATTACTATGTGTCATTTAAATCATATTCTGAAGCTGCTGTCTAATCTTCTTATACAAAAGCCTTAAAACTGTTTGTACAAAGTCAATCATGTTTTAAAATAGAGCGCTTGCTGCTAACTTATTCCTGTGAGGAGCGTTGACACCGTAACATGACTTGTGCAGATACCTGTAAAATTTTCTAGCATCTTTTAGAATAATATAAAAAAAGCCATTATGTAAATGTTCTGTAACTATTAACATTTCTCACTGTTCTCCCTTTCTACCACCTTTCTTCTTTCTTTTTTAACAGCCTGTAATCTCCTAAACCTTACATTATTCCTCAGAGTGTGAGAAGGTGGCATGGGTTGTTGTCAGGGGGAGGGTACCTGGCAACCATAGAAAACTAAAGATGAGTAAGAAAGGAAAGGGAGTTCTCCACAAAGGCAGTCTGTCTCTTTTAGCAGCTGAATCTCGTGCTCCTGTTGCGCTCCCGCCACCATCTTGTCACAGGAGTTTCATCATCATGGTAATGGGAATGTGCATCACTGATAGCTGCAGCATTGCCATCAGTAAGGGTTTTATTTGACCAAGTGCAGACTCCACCAGGCTTTGGAAAAATGATGCAGAGCATGTGCAGAAGCAGACTTTCTGGTTCCCTTTCCCAGCACTGGGCTCTTCCCAGCCGGGTAGGAAGTGTTCTTTGAGCAGCTCTTGGCCTGCAGGTTGCAACTTGTGCTTCCCCTCCTACCTAAAAACTGTGAGCCCAGGGACAAGCAAAATAAATGCTGGGGGAGGGAATTCCTTGAACTTTTTTAATTGTGTAAGTGTTATCCAGAACAGGTGAGCTGTCTCTAACTGTCCTTCCTAATAGGTTAGTCAACAATTACGCTGGTAGAAAGCCACATGACTGGAAAACTGCTCTTGAATTTTAGCTGACTTTAGGTGAGGGAGGGAGTGATGGAAGACAGCAAGAGGGAGCTTATCTGAGTAGGCTCTGTGTGTCTGTCTGTCTGTGGAAAAGTTTAGTGTTTTAAATCAGAATGGTCATCTTTAGGAGGACACAATTTTTTGTGATAAGGTTTTATTTTTGGGTGACGTGTAAACATGTTTTTCATTTTGTGTGACAAATTGTCTGACTTCAGACCAACAGTTTTAGACAGTCTGTGTGATATTCCCTCCATTTCTTTTCCTTTCTTCCCCTCTTTTCTGGTCTCATCGCTTCTTGTCCCTGTGTGATACAAACAACCCCTTAGTGCATGGTAGATGAGAGCTGAGAAAAGCATGTCCATGATCTGGGCAGAAGGAACATTTTTTGAACCTGTTTCTATGAATTGACAGCTGTCTGGCTCCATCTCCCTTTTATCCTGCTTCTGAGTATTGAATAAATCAATCTGCAATCTTGGAGGAGGAGACAGCATTTTCTGTAAGGTGGGAAGAGTTGAGAGAAGCACGTAAAGCCTTTTGGAAAAAAACCCCACTGTTCTTATACTGCAGATACCACTGTAGGTATCTGTCAGCAGTGTTTAAAGCAAGTGGACTTTCTCCTTGCATTTTCTGGATTCCCGTCTCCCTCCCCAGATTTGTGCCATGTCTAGTGACGAAGGTCAGCACACTGATGCCTTGTCCTCCTTCAGGATTAAACATCTTTGAGCGGAGAGTGTAACAAGCCTCATTTTGCTATCGTTTTTATAGCAGCCATACTATGATTGAGGACTTTTTTTTTTAATGTCATTCCCTTGATTAATTTTGCTGGAGTTGTCAGTGTGCTGTTACGACATGCTTTTGGAGTTGTCAGTGAACCTGCTGTGTTTCTGTGCAGTATCCCTCAGAACTGCTGTCACACACATGGTGTGTGGGTCCAGGGCACAAACCCAATGGGACTGAGGTGGGGTTAAAGCTGGTTGCAGAGGGACGCATATGGGGAAGGTGGAAGTGATGAAGGCTTGCATGTAGCCAGTACAGGGGAAAGGAGGAGCTGCAATATTTTTGAGGAGCTGAGAGTTGTTCTCATGGCCCCTGGGGAGGAAAGATGCAGCGAGGTGCTGAGGCTCATACAGATGTGAGAATGAATGCCCAAAGGTGCTAGCCCTATGGGTTCCTAGCACAAGTGGGTGGGAGGAAGTTCACCTGTCTTCTTGCAGGTTATCTACAGCACTTAAATACAGAAGAAAAAAAAGTAGCAGATGCTTTTTCCCCTCTTTGCCTTTTTGATCCCTACCTTGAAGGAATAAAGTATTGGTCTGAGTGCAGTGTCAACTGTGGTTAGGAAAACTTTTTTGAATGTAACCACCTTGACAGATCTGTTTAATGTGCCATGTGGTGAAGTATGTTGCTCTTGCTGTCACTGAGGGATTAAAAAAAATCAAGAAGGGCTTTATTTGTAAAATGATAAAGCTGCAAAAGTGATTCTGCTTTAGGTCACAAATGAGGTTTGAACTATGGGCAGGGAAAATCTTGGCTGAAACTGTCGTGGCAGGCATGTGGCTGAGTGCATGAATGTCTGACTGTGTCTTCAACTCCCCTGTTTCCCTGTTGTTCAGACTTTCTTTTTTTTTTGTTCTGTTCTTCCTAAGCAGGACCTGTCCCTTTGATTTTTCTGTAAACTTACTGACTCACCTATGGGAACTCTAAACCAATCAATTCATTCGCTTCCTAATGCTTCTAAGAATATTTTTGAGTTAACCTTATGATCACCTGTGGGCAACTGAGATGTTTGCTGAATTCTGGATTTGCTTCAATACTGTGCATGCTACTGAAAATGTCATCCAAGCTTTTTCTGTCGTGACTGGATGGGAAGCTGCTTTGGGCAGCTTCAGATCTAGGAACTTAAATGTAACTCTCTACTTTTCTCATTTGCGTCAAGGCAGTGGTGTCCTCTCTCCCTGCCGCATCGGCCTGCAGAGTCTCCATCTTGTAGCCGATGACTGCAGCATGCAAAGCAGCTCCTTGCTCCTTGCCTGCATCCCAAGGATGATTGGGAAAGAGGGCCATGGGCTGCATGGCTTGTCCTGGCTGGAGCACTACAGGTTGGGCACCCCACCTTAGTGCTGAGGGGCTGAATACACTGGGGTGTGCCCATTCTCTGGCTTGTGCATGGTCTGTTTGTTCTGGTCCATGCAGCCAAGTGAAAGTTCAGGCCGGGCATTTAAGGTCATTTATTAGAAATTATGTTTGTAGAGTAGATGTGTTAATTGCAATGAAGGTGTTTCCAAAGCTTGAAGTGACGGGGAAACTGCATTTCAAATGCATTTTGCATTTCAAAAGACCTTACAGGGATAATTTTCATTCTTTTTGTTGTATTTGACTATAAAAAAACCCCATATGAAGTCTAAATATATGTAGTCTAAATAGGATACTGGTGCACCTCCCAGATCCATGCAGTCCATGGGAGTGTCATGGTGACCTTCAGGGTGCATCCTTTTCCTTACGCCCTCATTCCCAAGGGGGACGGGCCCGTAGGGCATGTTGCCCACCCCAGTGTTGAAACGTAGCTCTTGCGTGAACAGATGAATCATGGAACTGCATACTTCTTCTGAATTGCTCTTTGTTTTCAGACAAACATTGGACATCAGAAGTCAGCCCAGCTACCTTGAGTCAGCAGAATAATTATACATATATTTAAAATAAATTCCATGTTTAGGTTTCTGCTGAGTCAAGGCCTCATAAGTGGATCCATAGCTGCTGGAAGCTGTTGATGCTATACTGAATTCAGAGGAGAGACAGCAGCTGTGACTCTGCATGTAACCATTTTGGAAGGTTAACAAAACGCATGAGTCTTAGTTTTAAAAAAAAAGCATCAAGTGACTAACTTAAAATATATCTCAATGTATATGTAAAATCTGGAGTGCATGTTGGCTTTATTTTCTAGATTTCAGCTTGATTGTTAATGATTAACTAGACAGGTTTCCCTTCACCTATGACTTGACTGATAGGTTTCATTTTCAAGTTCTTTATGTGACACTATGTGTGAGCTTTGAGGAAAATGTTTAAATCCACTTGGATTTGTGAAAAGGAGTTACGTGTAATGCTCCAAATAATACAACACATGTTAATGTGAAAACTGAGTTTTATCTCTAAGCCATTTGTAGAAGTTTCTGCAGAGTGCCCTTAACATTCAGTACAACGTTTCTTCTTGTGTCCCATCAACGCCAAGTATCCAAACTCACAACCTCTACTGTTGAGTATACAGCAGATTTGGAAAGTATTCTTACTTGTAATGAAGTTGAGAGAGTAGAACATGATTATTATTAATTTACTGTAATACTGCCAAAAGTGCTTTTTCTTCCCCTCTTTCCGGTTAGCAAAGGTGACCTGTTCATGTTTTAGAGCCTTTGCAGCTGTTTTTGTGTTACATTCTGGTCTTTGAAACTGTAATATTGTTGGACTCCTCTCAAGGATGTTTGCACAAACCCCGTGTCTCTTAACTGAAAAACATGAAACTCTTCAAGTAATTATAACCAAAGAACATCTCAGTTCTTAAAGCAAATGCCAACCTTCTCATTCAAGTACTTTGCACTCTTTCTATTCTCGGCCCTTGCTATGTCTGGGGTGGCAGGCTGGGGAGGGAGGACCCCCTGGCCAGACCCTTTCTCTGCCAGGAGATACCCTTATTCTTCTAGATTGATCCAGTGTGGCATGATGACTGAAATGAGAGCCAGCACTCACTGGGGAGTCAGTATGATACAGCTCAGAAGGAGGGAAGCTAAGGAGCAAATTATCCTTATCTGTTAAAAAAAAGCCTGTGTGGAGGAGGCCATGGTGCCTGTGGGGTTTTTTTGGTGTTTTTTTTTTCTTGTTTTTTCCTCTCTGCAAGCTTATAATATAAGCTCCACTTTATAAAAATTCAGTGAAGACATATTGCAAAATCAGTGACCAGAGAT